CTATCTGTCCCTCCTGGTATACTTTGTGTCAATAAAGCTGGTTCTAAAGCTGCCAATCCTTAACTTTTTGAACCCTGATGTCACCTCTGATCTAGATTCAGTGAAGGTTTGCTTCACTCATCTACTGTTGCTCAGGTTTTTATCTGGTGACTTGATTGAATGATGTAAGGTTCTGAGGGGTTTTGACAGGGTAGATGAGGATATTTCCATTTTGTGGGAGAATCTAGATCTAGAGGTCTCCCTTTAAAAGCAAGCGTTCGCCTATTTCAATCTGATATGCGGCAATGCTTTTTGCTTCCAGATTGAAAGCCTTTTGAACTCTCTTCCTGAAAATCGGGTAAAAGCAGAGTCTGAATCTTTCCATGGGAGATGGAGATAGATTCTTGATAAATAAAGGGCTTAAAGGTAATCAGGGATTGGCAGCAATGTTTTCTGCTTGGGTTGACTAATCAAGATGCAGGTGCAGTAACTTCCAAGTCACAGCTGCAGATGTCTGAAAAACTAGAAGTAAAGTAGGTTGGCAGGAATATGGAGCAATCAGGCTAATAACCACAGGTGAGGTGCCGGAAGCTTGGAAGTTCGCTAACATGGTGCCGCTATTTAAGAAAGGTGATAAGCAAAAGCTAGGGAACTGTAGACCGGTAAGCCTGACATGAGTGGTGGGGAAGTTGTTGGGTGGGATCCTGAAGGATAGCATTGACATCTATTTAGAAAGGTGAGGACTAATTAGGTATAGTCAACATGAATTGTGAGTGGGAAATTGTGTCTCACTAACTTGACTGAGTTTTTTGGAGAAGTGTGAAGAGGATTGATGAGGATAGCAGTGGACGTGATTTATATGGACTTTAATAAGGCATTTGATAAGATTCCTCATGGTAGACTGGTTAGCAAGGTTAAGTCACGTGGAGTAGAGGGAGAACCAGCTATTTGGATACAGAACTTGCTCGAAGGTAGAAGATAGAGGGTGGTGGTGGTGGGTTGCTTTTCAGACTGGAGGTCTGTGACCAGCGGTCTACCACAGGATTGGTGCGGGGTCACTGATTTTTGTAATGTGAACATAGGAGCTATGGATAATAAGTTTGCAGATGACGCCAAAATTGGAGGTATAGTGGACAGCAACAAAGGTCACCTCAGAGAACACTGGGACCTAAGTAAAAACCAAAAGAGCTGTGGATGCTGTAAATCAGGAACAAAAACAAAGTTGCTGGAAAAGCTCAGCAAGTCTGGCAGCATCTGTGAAGGTAAAAACAGAGGTAGTATTTCGGGTCCAGTGACCCTTCCTCAGAACCTAAGGTAGCTAGTAATGTAACAATAGTTCCTACAAAAAGACAGGACTTACACAGTTAATTTATTTTGTAATTCATTTGTGCGATGTGGACATCGCTGGCTGGCCAGCGTTTATTGCCTGTCCCTAGTTGTCCTTGAGAAGGTGGTGGTGAACTGCCTTCTTGAATCTCTGCGGCCCACCTGCTATGGGTTGACCCACAATGCCCTTAGGGCAGGAATTCCAGCATTTTTGACCCAGCGACAGTGAAGGACGGCAATATATTTCCAAGTCAGGATGGTGAGTGGCTTGGACGGGAACTTGAAGGTGGTGGTATTCCCATATGTCTGCTGCCCTTGTCTTACTAGATGGAAGTGGTTGTGGGTCTGGAAGGTGCTGTCTGAGGATCTTTAGTGAATTTCTGCAGTGCATCTTGCTTATAGTACACACTGCTGCTACTGAGTGTCAGAGTTGGAGGGAATGGATGCTTGTGGATGTAGTGCCAATCAAGCGTGCTGCTTTGTCCTGGATGGTGTCAAGCTTCTTGAGTGTTGTTGGGGCTGCACTCGTCCAGGCAAGTGGGGAGTATTCCAACACACTCCTGACTTGTGCCTTTGTAGATGGTGGACAGGCTTTGAGTATTCAGGTGAGTTATTCGCCACAATGTTCCTGGCTTCTGATCTGCTTTTGTAGCCACTGTGTTTATGTGGTGAGTCCAGTTGAGTTTCTGGTCAGTGGTAACCTTCCAGCATGCTGATAGTGGGGCATTCAGTGATGGTAACACAGTTGAATGCCAAGGGGTGGTGGTGAGATTATCTCTTGTTTGTGATGGTCATAGTCTAACATTTGTATGATGCGAATGTTACTTGCCACTTGTCAGCCCAAGCCTGGATATTGTCCAGATCTTGTTGCATGTGAACATGGACTGCTTCAGTATCTGAGGAGTTGTGAATGGTGCTGAACATTGTGCAGTCATTGGCAAAGATCCCCACTTCTGACCTTATGACGGACGGACCCATTGATGAAGCAGCTGAAGATGGTTGAGCCTAGGACACTACCCTGAGGAACTCCCGCAGAGAAGTCCTGGGCCTGAGATGATTGACCTTCAGCAACCTGAACCATCTTCCTCTGTGTCAGGTATGACTCCAACCACCGGAGAGTTTGCCCTTGATACCCATTGATTCCAGTTTTCCTAGGGTTCCTTGATGCCACAGCTGGTCAAATGCAGCCTTGATGTCAAGGTCTGTCACTCTCACCTCACCTCTGGAATTCAGCTGTTTTGTCCATGCTTGAACCAAGGTTGTTATGAGATCAGGAGCTGAGTGGCCCTGGCGGGACCCAAAGTGGGGGTCACCGAGCAGGTGCTGCTTGGTAGCACTGTTCATGACACCTTCCATCACTTTACTGATGATCAAGAGTAGACTGATGAGGCATTAATTGTCTGGGTTGGATTTGTGCTGCTTTTTGTATACAGGATGTACTTGGGCAATTTTCCGTATTGTCAGGTAGATACCAGTGTTGTAACTGTACTGGAACAGCTTGGCTAGGGGAGCAGCAAGTTCTGGAGCACAAGACTTCAGTACTATTGCCGGAATGTTGTCAGGGCCCTTGGCTTTGCAGTATCTAGTGTTTCCAACTTTTTCTTCATATCACGTGGAGTGAATTGAATTTGCTGAAGACTGGTATCTGTAATGCTGGGGACCATTGGAGGAGGCTGAAATGGATCATCCACTCGACACTTTTGGCTGAAGATTGCTGCGAATGCTTAGCCTTATCTTTTGCACTGATGTGCTGGGCTCTTCCAGCATTTGGATGAGGATGTTTGTGGAGCCGCCTCCTACGGTGAGTTGTTCAATTGCCCACCACCATTCATGACTGGATTCAGCAGGACTGCAGATCTTAGATGTGATCCATTGGTTGTAGGATCGCTTAGCTCTGTCTATCACTTGCTGCATTTTGCTGTTTGGTGTGCAGATTGTCCTGTTTGGCGGCTTCACCAGGTTGACACCTCATCTTCAGATATGCCTGGTGCTGCTCCTGGCATGCCCTCCTGCACCCTCCATTGAACCAGGATTGATCTCCTGGCTTGATGTTAATGGTTGAGTGGGGGATATGCCAGGCCATGAGGTTACAGATGTGCTGGAGTACAATTCTGCTGCTGTTGATGGCTCACAGCACGTCTAGGATGTCTAATCTTGAGTTGCTAGATCTGTGCAAAGTCTATCCTATTTAGCACAATGATGGTGCTACACAAGACAACTGAGGTTATTCTCAATGCGGGATTTCATCTCCACAAGGACTGTGCAGTTGTCACTCTTACCGATACTATCATGGACAGATGCAACTACAGCTGGCAGATTGGTAAGGATGAGGTCAAGTATGTTTTTCCTTGTTGATTCCCTTACCACCAGCTGCAGACCCAGTCTAGCAGCTATGTCCTTTAGGACATGACCAGCTCCATTAGTAGTACTGCTACCGGGCTACCTTTGGCAGTGGACATTGAAATCCCCCACCCAGAGTGTGTTTGTGCTCTTGCCATCCTCAATTCTTCCTCTAAGTGTTGTTCGACATGGAGCAGTACTGATTCATCAGCTGAGGGAGGATGGTAGGTAGCTGCCAGCAGGAGGTTTCCTTGCCCATGTTTAACCTGAAGCTACGAGACTTCATGGGGTCCGGAGTCCATGTTGAAGACTCCCAGAGCTACTCCCTCCCGACTGTATACCACTGTGCTGCCACCTCTGCTGGGCATTCCTGCCGGTGAGACAGGACTTATCCAGGGATGGTGATGGTGGTGTCTGGGATATTTCTGTAAGGTACAATTCTGTGCGTGTGACTATGTCAGGCTATTGCTCAACTATCTGTGAGACAGCTGTTCCAATTTTGGCACTAGTTTCCAGATATTAGTGAGGAAAACTTTGAAAGTTTGACAGGGCTGTTTCTGCTATTGTCTTTTCCAGTGCCTAGGTCGATGCTAGGTGATCCATCTGGTTTCATTTCTTTGAGACTTTGTAGTGATTGGTACAACTGAATGCCTTGCTAGGCAGTTAAGAGTCAACCACATTGCTGTGGGTCTGGAATCACGTAGGCCAGACCAAGCAAGGATTCCAGATTTCCTTCCTTAAAGGATATTAGTAGGAGCCCTGGGGATATTGCCGAACAGAGAGATCCCAGGGGTGCAGGAACCTCATGAAAGTGGCATAACTGGTAGATAAGGTGATGAGCAAAATGTTTGGCTCACTTGCCTTTATCGGTCAGAGCATTGTGTACAGGAGCTGGGTTGTCATGTTGCGGTTAGCTGTTTCAGAGCGGAGTTGAGAGTCAGCCAAATTGTTATGGGCTTGGAGTTGCATGTAGTCCAGACCAAGAATGGCAGATTTCCTTCCCTCCAGCATGGAACTGGACTAGATGGGATTTTTAATTAAAATTTTAGTTCCACCTGCTTTTGTGACTGGATTTGAACCCATGTTTCCACAACATTAGTCTAGGCTTCTAGATTACTAGTCCAATGAAATTAACACTATACCACTGTTACCCACTTCCCCCACCCATGTGGTGTACTTGGATTTTAAAAATTTGATAAAGTGCCAGATCAAACATTACTACACAAGAGAAGAACACACAGCATATCGGTAACATGTTAGCATGAATAAAGGATTGGTTAGCTATCTGGAATCAAAGATTAGGGATAAATAGATCTTTTCAAGTTCTTTAACTGAACTTTGCCGTGTTCTTTCAGTTGTTGAAATCTGAGGAAGATGCTTCATACAAACCCGTGAAGAAGGCCTGTGTGCAAATAGTGGATAATCTGGTGGAACACATTCTGAAATATGAAGAATCCCTTGCAGGTAAATGGAGAAGCAATGAAATGGGAATATAACTGGTCAGTCCTGTTAAATGTTCTATCATAGAGACATTGAGGCACGAAAGGAAACCATTTGGCCCGTCATGTTTCATGCCAACTCTTTGCAGGGTGATCCAATCGATTCCATTTTCCTCCCACCCTACCTCTAACCCTGAGCAGAAAGTTCCTTTCCCTTAGGCCGCCGTCCAATTTACTTTTGAAATCAATGATTGCTTCTCATAGACCACCCCTTAGACATTGAATACCAGATAAGTCGTATCCTGGGGTGAGATCCTGTTTGATCTTCCATAAGTTTCTTTTTGTTCTTATTGTTTACTTTGGAGACCTGAATACATTCACAAGAGGCTGCAAATGTACTTTTAACGAAACAATGTACAAGTTTCTTACATGAGAGGAAAATCCAAACAATATTATGTTCTGCAAGAACCTTTTTTTTTAATTGAACACATTTCAGATTTCGTAAAGATTAAACCCTTTAGTCCCAATAACCACCTGTCAGACATGCAAACCTCACTGAAAGGTTACTCCTGTGTCCGCACTAAATCTCCTTGTTTAGCTAGCATGCTATAAGCAGTTGTTTTTGATCATTTTTTGCATTAATGTGATGCCATTTTCTTTATTAATATTTTTTAAGGAGATCTTTCAACAAGTTGCTTTCTCTGATTACTTGCTGCTTTATGTGTGTTTCTTAGTTTCACTTCAGCTTTGTAGAATGTCTTCCTCTTTGACACCTTCACAGCCTTTTGTTTCTGACTTCTTTTAGGCAATTCACAACGCTTCTCTCCACTCCCCCTCTTCCCAGCCCTGAATGTTTGGACTGCTGATAATAGAATCTGTACAGTGTGGAAGCAGGCCATTTTCACCCATCGGGTCTCCGAAGAGCATCCCATCCAGACTCATTTCCCCACCCTATCTGTAACCCTGTATTTCCCATGGCTAATCCACCTAACTACATGTCCCTGGACACTGGGCAATTTAGCATGGCCAATCCACCTAAACTGCACATCTTTGGACTGTAGGAGGAAACCGGAGTATCCAGAAGAAACCCACACAGAACTAGGAGAATGTGCAACCTCCACATAGACAGTTGCCCAGAATCTCTGGCCTTGTGAGGCAGCAGGTCTAACCACTGGGCCACCATGTCACCCTCTTGCTGTTAAAGACCTCTTCTCTTTGAACCAACCTGATTCTCTTTGAATGAACTTGGCTTCTGTTAGAGGGAACCTGATTCTAAATTCCCTTCTCTCTTCTTCCCTCAACTCTCTCTGGATTAAATACCTCAAATCAGCAAGCACTCTCGTTATTATCTATGATGGCTATTCGGTCATCTAAAGTGACATGATTTGTGGAAATGCTTTTCAACTCACTGTTCAAAATGACATACAGAACGTTATAAAATTGGAAACCAAATAAAATCCAATTTACATCCAATTCTCCACTTTAGAATCCAAGTTTCCAATAACAGTTTATGAACCTTAATCAGACTTTTTCTACTGTATCCAAACTTTTATAATCTAAAGTCCTCCATAAATCTCTTGTCCAGTTCCTTTACCCCAAGGAAAACAGTCCTTACTTCTCTAAACTACCTTTGTGACTTAAATCTCTCATCCTTGGAATCATTCCAACATATCCCCTCTTCCTGAAGTGTGGTGATTGGAACTGCAAATAATGCTCTAGTCATGGCCCAACTAGAACTTTATCATGGTTCATTATAATGTCCCAGCTTTTGTTCTCGACATCTGTTTATGAATCCTAAGCCCCCTCTGTTGACATTTCTTCAACATGACATGTTTGTCTGACTGTTGACTTTTGGCCCTTTTACTTACCAATTGATTTGGTGATATTGTTTGATCGCCAATACAGTACTTAACACTGAAATGCACGGTTTTAATTGAAAATTGTTTCAATTTGAGACATAAGTGGCTGTATGAGATTGTGGTGTTAAAACAGCTATGAATATTGTCCTGTAGCTTTATTTGCAAATCCTCCCTTCTAAATAAATAGATGTTTCCTAGAAGGGTTTCATTCTTTTTGACCTGTATGTCATAGAATCGTGCAGCACAGAAACAGACCATTCGTTCCAACTCATCCATGCTGACCAGGTTTCCTATACTAACCATACTAGTCCCATTTGCCTGAGTTTGGCCCATATCCTTTTAAACTTTTCCTATTCATGTACCTGTCCAAATGTCTTTTAAATGTTGTAACTCTACCTACATCTACCACTTCCTCAGCAGGTCATTCCACATTCGCATCACTCTGTGGAAAAGGTTGTCACTCAGGTCCTTAAATCTTTCTCCTCTCACCTTTTTCAAAAAAAAAACAGCCCAACAGGTTTGTTTGAACTGTCGAGCTTTTGGAGCGCGGCTCCTTCATCACTTGATGAAGGAGCAGCACTCTGAAAGCTTGTGATTTCAAATTAACCTGTTAGACTATAACCTGGTGTTGTGTGACTTCTGACTTTGTCCACCCCAGTCCAACACCGGCACCTCCACATCTTCAAAAAATATGCCCTCTAGTTTTGAACTCTCTCCCACCCGAAGGAAAAGACCTTTACTATTCCCACACACACACACTCACATGCGCTCACACACATTCACTCTCTCTCTCTTCTTTCTCTCTGTCTGTCTCTCGCTGTCTCTGTCTGTCTCGCTCACGCTCTTCTTGCGTACCTTCTCGCCCACGCGTGCTCTCTTGCTCTTCTCTTCTTGCCGGCGCACACGTATCCCCACATATATAAATCTATGGGGTGAATTTGTATTTGCAGGTACATGCTGTTTTATTCAAAGGGCACACAATTTGTAGACACAGTCAGTCAATGGGGCATTTTATAAATTCCTGCTTTGGAAATAAAACCAGTCTGACTTCACATTAAAACACAGATTCGAAACAAGGCCTCACACCCAAAATGCATTGTCTAACCTGAGATGTCACATCTAGTATGCACTGATAAAACCCTCAGTTATCTCGGGGCAGTGACTTGAAAGAAATGCTAGGATTTGCATTTTAATCAGTCGAAGCCTGCATTTCCTTTCTAACTGATTAAAGATTTAACAGGAGGGAGTCAGCCAGCCACTTTAGGTTTATCCAATTCATTTGCATCAATTGTATGATCCTTGGTCTTTTACATGTAAATTCTGTGTCTTGATGCCTCTCTCACTAAACCTGATGAAGGAGCAATGCTCTGAAAGCTAGTGTTTTCAAATAAATCTGGTGGACTATAACCTGGTGTCATGTGATTTTTGACTTTGTTCAACACTGGTACTTCCACATCATGCTCCTCCTGATTTTATAAGCCTTGTATAAGGTCACCCCGCAGCCTCCTACGCTCTGGGGGAAAAGTCCCAGCCTATCCAGACTTTGCTTATGCCTCAAATGCTCCTGTCCCAATAACATCCTTGTAAATCTTTTCTGCACCCTTTCCAATTTAATCATATACTTCCCATAGCAGAGTGACCAAAACTGTACACGTTACTCCAAAAGTGGCCTCACCAATGTCCTGTACAGCCACAACATGACATCCCAATTCCTATAATCAATGTTCTGACCAATGAAAGCAAGTATGCCAAATGCTGCCTTTACCATCCTGTGTATCTCTGATGCCACTTTCAAGGAACTATGTACCTCAACACCTGGGCCTCTCTGTTCAACAACTCTCCTCCGGGCCCTATCATTGACTGTGCAAGTCGTACCCGTGTTTGTCTTGTCGAAATGCACTACTTCTCATTTATCTAAATTAAATGCAATCTGTCACTCCTTGGCCCATTAGCCCAATTAATCCTGTCATACTCTTAGATAACCTTCTTCACTTTCCACTATACCATCAATTTTGTTGTCACCCACAAATTTACTAACCATGCTTCCTATATTCTCATCTAAATTGTTTATATAAATGACAAACAACAGTAGACCCAACACCAATCCCTGCAGAAAACTGCTGGTCACAGGCTTCCAGTCCGAAAACCTCCACCTCCCACTGTCTTCTCCCGTCAAGACGATTTTGTATCTAATTGGCAAGTTCTCCCTGGACCCCGTGTGACCTAACTTGACTAACCAGTCAACCATCCAGAGCCTTGTCAAAGGCATGGCTAAAGTCCATGTAGACGACGTCTACCGCTCTGACCTCTATCTATCTTCTTGGTCACATCCTCAAAAAAACTCAATCAAGTTCGTGAGACACAATTTACCACACACAAAGCCGCGCTGACTGTCCCTAATCAGGCCCTTCCTCCTGTTTTGTTGCATATCTCTGGTTTGGCTTCCACATTGCAACCTTTGAAATGTCCACCCTTATCCTAAACCACTTATTCACAGGTCACTTGACCATATTATTCACCTTTTCTAGACCCCTGATCAACTTCCCAGAATATACCAGGGTCCCTTTGTTGTTGTTGCCTTCCAGTACATTAACCTCCCTTGTCAGGCTACATTACAATCCTTTACAACACAGTAATTTCTCCCCCATATTTCAGTAAGATCCATTCTCCCTGATATGCTTATTCACTCTTCTCCCATATCTACTACTTGGCATTTTTCCATTCCGTATAATAAATATAATTGCTGTCACACATCTTCCACGGCATTGTACACAACTTCCTCTGCATTTCCCATGCAACACTTGTAAGGCAAAATAGCACACAGAGTAAAGCTTATTCTATACTGTCTCCATCAAATACTCCAGGACATCTGACATTCTAGAGGTTTATAAAATCATGAGGGGCATGGATAGTGTGAATAGCCAATGTCTTTTCCCAGGTTTGGGGGAGTCAAAAACTAGAGGGCATAGATTTAGGGTGAGAGGGGAAAAATTTAAAAAGGACCTGAGGGGAAACGTTTTCACGCAGGGGATGGTGCGTGTATGGAACGAGCTGCCAGAGGAAGTGGTGGAGACTGGTAAAATTACAATATTTAACAGGCATCTAGATGCGTGTATACATACAAAGGATTTAGAGGGTTATGGGTCAAATGCTGGCAAATGGGACTGGATTAATTTAGGGTATCTGGTCGGCATGGACAAGTCAGACCGAAGGCTCTGTTTCCGTGCTGTACTGCTCTGAGAGGTACAGCGTATAGCTCTCTCTACGATGCCCCGCTAAACTCCTCCTCAGACTGGGAATAATATTCTTGAGTGGTTTTACATTAATCTTTTACCCATGTAATTCTCTGTTTCCCAGAAAGTGGCCCCCAAAACTCTGCAACCAAATTTGCTGCTGAAATAATTTTGATAATTGAATGATGTCGCCAGCAAAATTACAAGCTTAGTGTGCATGAGGTGCTCTAATTTCCAGCGCTAACACTTATTGTATCCCCACAGATTCAGATAGTAAAGGCATGAATACCAACTGTCTTGTGGCTTGTTTAATTACGTTATACCTGTTCAGCAAAATCCAGCCTCATCTCATGGTGAAACATGCAATGACTCTTCAGCCGTACCTTACCACAAAGTGCAATGTGAGTATGGCTTTTGCATTTTGTGACCTTCTGTTCAACTGTTTCTAATCATTTTGCACAAAAATTGCGTTTTAATAAATTGATGCATTTAGGAGTGTGTACAAAATAATTTATCAGTACAGAATTCACCCATAAGGCTGCAGTGCTTTAGATTCCTTTGTGGTACATACGTTTGTATCCAATAATTTAGCAGCAGCCTTGTTTCACTAATTCGTAAGATAATTCAAAATTCATCAGAAAAAGCAATCCTTTTCAGGATGGCGGTTGGTAACTAGTGGAGTTCCACAGGGGTCAGTGTTGGGACGACAACTATCCTAACTTATACAATAACGATCTGGATGCGGGCTGAGGACATTGTTGCTATGTTTGCAGATGACACAAAGATAGGTGGAGGGCCAGGTAGTATTGAGGAAGCGGGGAGACATGGGCAGGCGAGGACAGTGAGCGAAGAAATGGCAGATGGAATACAGTGTGGGAAATTTTGAGGTTATGCACTTTGGTTTGAAGAATGGAGGTGGATACTGTTTTCTAAAAACTGAAATAACTGAAACTAATTCCACGAAGGCTGGTATCCCGTCCCCAAGTCAACTGTTATTTACACATGTATGGTATGAGACACTGACCAGCTAGCTCAGTTCCGGCTCATAGGATGAACAGAACCCCTGACACTCCTGTTTATATCTGTCAGCCAGAACTCCCTGATTGGGGCTGTTAACCTGGTCCAATCAGGGAACTCATTTTGTGAGGTCCACCTGGCTGATTTGTTCCAATCACTACAGAAACATTTCAGAAATCTTAAGCACAAAGGAACTTGAGAGTCCTAGTTCAGGATTCTCTTCAGATTAAAATGTACGTTTATTTGGCAGTCAGAAAGACAAATGCAATGTCAGCATTTATGTAAAGAGAGCAAGGATACAAGAGCAGAAATGTACTGCTGAGGCTGTATAAGGCTGTAGTCAGACTGCATTTGGAATGTTAGTGAGAAATTTGGGCACTGTCTAAAGAAGGATCTGTTGGCTTTGGAGGGGTCTAGAGGAGGTTTATAAAAATGATCCTGGGGATGAAGGGCAGTAGTTGAGGACTCTGGGTCTGTACTCAATGGAGTGTAGAAGAGTTGGGGGAAATTTCATTGAAACTTAAAGTCCTGAGAGACAGGGATAGATTGGATGTGGAGATGATGTTTCCACTAATAGGAGAGATGAGGACCGGAGGGCATAGCTTCAGGATATACAACTGATATCAGGGAATTTCTTCAGCCAGTCATTGATGCAGAATGCCGTGGAAACTAAGTCATTGATTGTGCTTAAGACAGAGCGACAGGTTCTTAATTATTAAGGGGATCAAGGGTTACTGGGAGAAGGCAAGAGAATGGGGATGAGAAACATGCCAAACAGGATCAAATGGCAGAACAGACCCAACGGGCCAAATGGCCTAATTCTGCTCCTGTATCTTAAGGTCTCATAGTCTTATTTAAAGGAATATTGCAGGCAGCTGAATGTAATGCTCATCCTGCAGTGCACTGTTAGAAGGATGATAAATTAGACATTGCTTCCTTTTTAAAGCAATTTATCTCAAAAAGGGAGATTGTTCATTATAGAACATAGAACATTACAGCGCAGTACAGGCCCTTCGGCCCTCGATGTTGCGCCAACCTGTGAAACCAATCTGAAGCCCATCTAACCTAAACTATTCCATTATCATCCATATGTTTATCCAATGACCATTTAAATGCCCTTAAAGTGGGCGAGTCTACTATTTTTGCAGGCAGGGCATTCCACGCCCTTACTACTCTCTGAGTAAAGAACCTACCTCTGACATCTGTCCTATATCTATCACCCCTCAATTTAAAGCTATGTCCCCTCGTGCTAGCCATCACCATCCGAGGAAAAAGGCTCCCACTGTCCACCCTATCTAATCCTCTGATCATCTTGTATGTTTCTATCAAGTCACCTCTTAACCTTCTTCTCTCTAACGAAAACAGCCCCAAGACCCTCAGCCTTTCCTCATAAGACCTTCCCTCCATACCAGGCAACATCCTGGTAAATCTCCTCTGCACCCTTTCCAATGCTTCCACATCCTTCCTATAATGCGGTGACCAGAACTGTACGCAATACTCCAAGTGCGGCCGCACCAGAGTTTTGTACAGCTGCAACATGACCTCATGGCTCCGAAACTCAATCCCTCTACCAATAAAACCTAACATACTGTACACCTTCTTAACAACGCTATCAACCTGGGTGGCAACTTTCAGTGATCTATGCACATGGACACCGAGATCTTTCTGCTCATCCACTCTACCAAGAATCTTACCATTAGCCCAGTACTCTGTATTGCTGTTACTCCTTCCAAAGTGAATCACCTCACACTTTTCCACATTAAACTCCATTTGCCACGTCTCAGCCCAGCTCTGCAGCTTATCTATGTCCCTCTGTAACCTGCAACATCCTTCCGCACTATCCACAACTCCACCGACTTTGGTGTCATCCGCAAATTTACTAACCCATCCTTCTATGCCCTCATCCAGGTCATTTATAAAAATGCCAAACAGCAGTGGCCCCAAAACAGATCCTTGAGGTACACCACTAGTAACTGAACTCCAGGATGAACATTTCCCATCAACCACCACCCTCTGTCTTCTTACAGCTAGCCAATTTCTGATCCAAACCGCTAAATCACCCTCAATCCCATGCCTCTGTATTTTCTGCAATAGCCTACCTTGGGGAACCTTATCAAACGCTTTACTGAAATCCAAATACACCACATCAACCGCTTTACCCTCATCCACCTGTTTGGTCACCTTCTCGAAGAACTCAATAAGGTTTGTGAGGCACGACCTACCCTTCACAAAACCGTGTTGACTATCCCTAATCAAATTATTCCTTTCTAGATGATTATAAATCCTATCTCTTATAATCCTTTCCAACACTTTACCCACAACCGAAGTAAGGCTCACTGGTCTATAATTACCAGGGTTGTCTCTACTCCCCTTCCTGAACAAGGGGACAACATTTGCTAGTCCCCAGTCTTCTGGCACTATTCCTGAAGACAATGACGACATAAAGATCAAAGCCAAAGGCTCTGCAATCTCCTCTCTAGCTTCCCAGAGAATCCTAGGATAAATCCCATCCGGCCCAGGGGACTTATCTATTTTCACACCTTCCAGAATTTCCAGTCAATATTTGGAAAGTTAAAGTCCCCCATAACAACTACCCTGTTACTTTCGCTCCTATCCAGAATCATCTTTGCAATCTTTTCCTCTACATCTCTGGAACTTTTCGGAGGCCTATAGAAAACTCCCAACAGGGTGACCTCTCCTTTCCTGGTTCTAACCTCAGCCCATACTACCTCAGTAGACGAGTTGTCATCAAACATCCTTTCTGCCACTGTAATACTGTCCTTGACTAACAATGCCACACCTCCCCCTCTTTTACCACCTTCCCTGATCTTACTGAAACATCTAAAGCCCGGAACCTGCAACAACCATTCCTGTCCCTGCTCTATCCATGTCTCCAAAATGGCCACAACATCGAAGTCCCAGGTACCAACCCATGCTGCAAGTTCACCCACCTTATTCCGGATGCTCCTGGCATTGAAGTAGACACACTTCAAACCACCTTCCTGCCTGCCGGTACACTCCTGCAACCTTGAAACCTTATTTATAACCTCACTACTCTCAACCTCCTGTACACTGGAGCTACAATTCAGGTTCCCACCCCCGTGTTGAATTAGTTTAAACCCTCCGGAAGAGCATTCGCAAATTTCCCCCCAGGATATTGGTACCCCTCTGGTTCAGGTGTAGACCATCCCGTTTGTAGAGGTCCCACCTACCCCAGAATGAGCCCCAATTATCCAGGTATCTGAATCCCTCCCTCCTGCACCATCCCTGTAGCCACGTGTTCAACTGCTCTCTCTCCCTATTCCTCGCCTCGCTAGCACGTGGCACGGGTAACAAACCAGAGATAACAACTCTGTTTGTTCTAGCTCTAAGCTTCCACCCTAGCTCCTTGAATTTCTGCCTTACGTCCCCATCCCTTTTCCTACCTATGTCGTTGGTGCCTATGTGGACCACGACTTGGGGCTGCTCCCCCTCCCCCTTAAGGATCCCGAAAACACGATCCGAGACATCACGGACCCTGGCACCTGGGAGGCAACACACCAACCGCGAGTCTCTCTCGTTCCCACAGAATCTCCTATCTGTCCCCCTAACTATGGAGTCCCCAATGACTAATGCTCTCCTCCTCTCCCCACTTCCCTTCTGAGCAACAGGGACAGACTCTGTGCCAGAGACCTGTACCCCATGGCTTACCCCTGGTAAGTCGTCCCCCCCAACAGTATCCAAAACGGTATACTTGTTTTTGAGGGGAATGGCCACAGGGGATCCCTGCACTGTCTGCCTGTTCCCTTTCCGTCCCCTGACTGTAACCCATCTACTTATTTCCTGTACCTGAGGTGTGACTACCTCCCTGTAACTCCTCTCAATTACCCCCTCAGCCTCCCGAATGATCTGAAGTTCATCCAGCTCCAGCTCCCTAACACGGTTTCCGAGGAGCTGGAGTTGGGTGCACTTCCCGCAGATGAAGTCAGTGGGGACACTAGTGGTGACCCTTACCTCCCACATTCTACAGGAGGAGTATACAACTGCCCTAACATCCATTCCCACTGTTCTGAATTCCCAAACAGACAAATTAAAAAAAATATATACTAGTAGCCTTACCAAATCAGCGCTCAGAACCTTTTCTTTCGGTTAGAGGAGGAGGATGGGTGGGAGACACTACCTAGGTAGTGCTTCGGGTAAAGCAACCGCCCAAATATATTACCTCACTTACTCCAAAAATGGAGTCACGCGAGGTAAAACTTTTATAACCGAAAAGCTCACCTTCCCAGGCTGCCCTCGCGCTTC